AGTGAACACACACTAAGCTACACAGTTGAGAAATAATAACTTAATTCCTAATTTGCCTCGGTGTGGTTCTACATCAATATCCTCATTAAGATGCCTTAAACTAGGCCTAAGAATGCCTAGAATGGAATGAGGATGTAAAGATGCACTTTAAAAATATTTTCAGAATTTTTAGAAAACAGAGTTCCCGCTCGAGCGTGGGTTTTCCCACTTGAGTGTACATGCAAACAAAAGTATTCGCTCGAGCTTAAACTTTCTCGCTCGAGCGGACTGCAAAAGTACTGGATGTGTGAAAATCACGCTCGATGGGCACTCAACACCCGCTCGAGCGTGTGACACAAGTCCTCGCTCGAGCGAACTGTAAACACAACAAAAGTGCTGGATACACGAATTTCCCGCTCGAGCGCCACTTACCCCGCTCGAGCGGGAGTCCAAAATCTGGAATCTCCAGATTTGAACCTCAAGCTCAAAATCAAGTTTGAATACATCAAATTCGATCCTTTTTGGCCAATTTTCTGGAAAACACTTGTAAATTCATAGTTTAACATGATTCAAAGCTCAATTTGTAAAATTAAGGCCCAAAGGTAAGTCAATTAAACATAATTTCAAACAAATTCCATGAACATGATGTAAAACATAACATGCATTAGTTTAATCAACTCCAAAACTTTAATTACTTGCTCAAATGAGCTCAATTGCCTCAAAAACAAGATGAATTCATGGACTAAGCTCAAGATATGAACATGCATGTGGGATTTCATGAACTACAACCTCAAAACTTAAAAATGTAAACATGCATGCAAGAATTAAGCCTCTATTCAACAATCTTAACCAATTCAAGACTCAACTCTTCAATTTAGCATGAAACATGAAAGAAATAACTTAAATTCACAATTAAAAGGATGGACACACTACCTTAGGTCATCAAACTCAAGAATATAAGCTCAATTGCACAAATCCTTTACAAATTCTTCAAGTCTCCAAGCAAATATAAGATGAAATCAATTCTTCTAAGTCTCTCTCTCTCTAGTCGACTAAGGCTCAAGGAGTGACTGATGAAATGTACAAAATGAGATGAAAGCAAATCCCACTAGGTCCCATGTAGTGGGCCACTAATGTGGCAAATTGGTAAATAAGGCTAACTCTTATAATTTATCAACATTTAATCTAATTTAATCATATCAAATCACATTTCAATTAAATATACCATAAAATCATATAAATCTTAATTAGCACAAAACATCAATCAATTTCAGATTCGGCTGCTGATAAGGCCTTGAATTTGCAGTTTAAAGCATAAAACATGAACAGATAATTTAACAGTTAAGAGATATGATTGCATTCAAACTAGCACAATCAATCAATCAGTTTAGTAATTCTGTCAGTCAGTCAATTAACATGCTTAATCATAGATTAGGACTAATCAGTGGTGAGGGTTGTCATAGGAGGGGATTAGTAATCTCTTAGTATTAGTAAGGAGGAGGAAGGGGGATTGGTAAGGAGGAAGTAGAGATGGTATTAGAAAAATAGTGAGGGGATTAGAAATTTTTTTATTTTTTATATATTGAGAATTTTTTTTAAACATAATGTTTAATTTTTTATATTTTTTTATTTGTTTTATTATTGTATATAAAAATAATTTAACAATTCCTCACTATTAATCCCCTCACTATCAATCCCCTCACTATTAATTCCCTCCATTCTATCTCTGAAAACAAACGGGGCCTTAGGTAATTGAAAAAATAAAAATAAAAACTCAATGTTTGGAATAATCTAAATAAATATATTTTTAATTTTTTATGAAAATATGTGTAAAAAATTAGAGAGATGATGTGACCCAAAACAGATAAAAAAATAAAAAAGTATACGTTTATAGAAGATTCCAAATAATTCCTTAATATATATTATAATTTTTTTATTTATTTATAAAAGGTACTCTTAAAATGTCACATAATATTCCAATTATTTATTAAAAAGAACATCAGAACAATGAATAAAGCCATTTTATTCCCAATGGTATCCAAAATAATTATAAATTTTTTTAAAAAAAAGTTATTTTTTTAATTTAAAAAGTATTAAGCAATACCTTTGGAAAAAGTTTTTTTTAGTTTTTTTTGGACTAAAATAGTATTAAAAAATAAAATAAGCTAAAATAGTCAATAAAACAAAATATTATATCAAATCTATAATCATTTTACTTTTTTTCTCACAAACATTACATCTAGCTACAAAAAAATTTTAACCTTCTAAAATAATTAAAAACTAAAATAACCTATTAAGATAATAGCTTCCCAAACACCAACTTTGTATGCCTTGAACATGTGCCTAGCTCTTATGATAGAAATAGATTCCAATTGAAGACTTTTGATGAGATCCTGCTACTGATAGTAAAATATGAATAGATTATATATCTCATAATATATATATATATATATATATATATATAGGGAAATGATAAAACGGTATTATTGGACGTGTGAGGCCCACTATTGATTTTATTTTGATAATTTGAATAATTTATTGTATAAAATTTGTCGAATACTTCATCTTTGTAAAAATTCATATTGATCAGATATCAATAACCTTTGATCAAATTATATTTTTGTTAATGGTAAATAATATTTTAAAAATAAATTATTAATAAAAATGTATTCTGATCAATAGGTTATCGATATCCAACTAATTTGATTTTTTGTAGAGATGAAGTAATCGACAAGATTTACACATTGAACGATTATTATCAAAATGAGATACGTGATGGGCCCCAAGGGCCTAATAGTACCGTCTAATTTACAAAGTGATGGAGATTAAGGCGTTGTTTGGGGTGTCCTAAATAAGTGTACTTTTTGTCTTTTTGAACTAAAAATTTGAGGAAAAAAATATGGATGTTTGGGTTAACTTTTTGAATTTTTATGAAAAAATGTATATTAAAAAATTATATAAAGAAGTGTGTAGGAGAAGATTGGAGATGAGTGAATGACAGCTGTACAATCTGGCAGGCGGATTCTTAGTAAGAAATTATTAGGTACTTTTCGAGCATTGTAGTGGACTGTTTTGTTCGGCCCGTGGGGGTCATCACGGGTCCCATTTTGATAATCTAAACCGTTCAATGTGTAGAACTCGTCGAGCACTATATGTCTATAAAACATTATGTTGATTGGATATCGATAGCTATCTGATCAGATTTGTTTTTTTTTAGTTGTTAATTATAACACCATCCATTTTTCATACAAAACTGATTTGATCATATAGTTATCGATATCCGATCAATGTGATTTTTTACAGACATGCAGTACTCGACGATTTATACACATTGAACGGTTCAGATTATCAAAACGGGACCCGTGATAGGCCCTCACAGGCCGAACGACAGTGTGTGAAAATTGTCCCAAATTGTCTAATACTTGGGGCAAACGCTGCACAGCCCCTTTAACTTTTCATGATGGCTGAATTGTATGATGTGTGAGAAATTATTTCTTTAATATTTTTTTGGTGAATAGTGATAATTTTTTAACTTTTTGAGTAATTTTTTAACTTTTTGACTTTTTTCAGAGTTGCCAAGCTTGGCCTAAATTGATAAAATATGAAATTTATGAATAAAATGAATTTGAATTATTAATTTTTTTTAATTAATTCGGAATTAGTAATGATAAATTTATGTTTGGGAACTTGGTTCCTAGATTTTTTTTTGATTTTTTATCACTAAAAGACAAAGGTTTTGCAAAATTAAAAAAATAAATTCAAACAAAATATCACATCTAACTCTATAATTATTTCATTTTTTCTCTCACAAAAATCACATCTAATCACAAAAAAAAAAACACAATTATCTTTTCAAATACTAAGGGTATGTTTGGTTTGTGTTTGAGAGATGTGTTTTAGAGATAAAAAGTACGAAAAGTTGTTTGGTTTGGTTTTTTTTAAAAGATGTTTTGGAAAATTATTTTGAGAGAGAGTTTTGGAAAAAGTGATTGATTTGATGTGTGTGAGAGAGAGATTTGTTTGGAAAACTTGTTTGGTTTACAAGTTTTGAGAAATTTTTTTGAGAAAATTTATTTGGTTTGATTACTTTTAAAAACTTATTTGTAGAGAAAATTTCTCAAAATTTTTTCCGAAATGCAAACCAAACGAACCCTTAATTTTTTTATCTAATAATATTTTATAACTAAAAAATTTTATATAAAAATTCACTTCCCAAACACTCACGTAGTGTTACTGATAAAACACTATAAAATACTTTTGAGCGATTGATACACAAAACAAAGCCTGTGTTTGGCAAGTGGGTTTGCAGGTTTTTTTTGGCTATTTTAGCCACAAAAAATAAAATAGGCTATTTTAGTCATAACAAGCAAAACATCACATCCAACCCATAATCATTACATTTTTCTCTCACAAAAAAACTCAAAAAAGTCAAAAAATTAAAAAATTCTTTCCAAACCAAGCTTTTAAGCCCAGACTAAAATAGTTAAAAAAACTAAAAAATCAACCTACTCCTCAAGCGGAGGCAAAATAAGAATAATATATTCTTTAAACAAAGGCAATCGATTATGTTATGTTCCATCAATACTTTTGAGCGATTGATAGATACAGTGACTCCTAATCGAATACCATATCTGTCTCAATCCCTAGATTTTTTGCAGGAAAAAAAAAATTTAGAATACGTTTGGTATGATTTTGAGAGAATAATTTTTAAAAATTATTTTAGAGAGAAAATTTAGAATTTGTTTTAGTTTGTTTAATTGTATATTTTGAAAGTAATTTTAGAGTATGAGAGTTTGAAATGATTTGATATTTTATTGTAATTGAATAGATATGTGTGAGAAAAAAAGTGATTAAAAAAAAAAAGAGAAAAGAAAAAAATAATTAATTAATGTATAAAAAAGAGAAAGTAATTTTAAAAAAATTACAAGCTAAACAAATTTTTAAAATTTTTTTTTTCCAAAATCACCCTACAAATCCAAACCAAACATAGCGTTAAAGATTATTCAAAGTGATGGCTTCATTGTTCCGCAACCATTCATATAAAAACTTCCCACAAAACCCTAGAAAAACCTTAACCCTAGATCTATCTGCTTCATCAATATATTTTTTGGTTCTTTAGAATCAATGAAATCAATGAATATATTCTCAGACGTTGAAGACAGAATAAGCAGTTTAACAGATGATCTTCTCCACCACATTCTCTCCTTCCTTCCCACTCTCAACTCTGTGCGCACCAGTGCCTTATCACAGAGATGGAGACACCTCTGGAAATCTGTTCAAACTCTGCATTTTGATAATCTCGATTGGTGGAACTGTGAAGGCAGTTTAGCAGATCAAATACTCTGCAAAAACTCGAAAATTATCTCAAAATTGCACTTCCATTGCACTCGAATTGAACAAGACTTGTTCCGCATTGTTCCATTACTCGGCCGTAAAATTCGCGAGTTGGATATTGATCTCCCTATTTGCCTTCCTGAAGATCTAATCGAGAGCTTTCGATACTGTGAAATTCTTCAAGTTTTGAAGATTCGATGCAATTTCAAGATCTATACTAAGAATTGGACTGGTTTCCGATCCCTCAGGGTCCTCCATATTTCGATTTCGAATCCTTGTAATGTGTCGATGCAAACACTCTCTCGAAGTTGCTCTGTACTCGAAGAGTTGGTGTTGGTGCTAGTGTTTGATCTAAATGGATCGCATGGTTTGTGGAATAAGAGTTTTGAGATTTTTGTACCGACTCTAAAGAGGTTAAGTATGCGGATTCGACATGGTAAGAATTGCAAATTCGATGTTACGGTCCCAGCTCTTGAGTGTCTTGATATAAAAGATAGTGAATTTTCACAGTACAAATTTAGAGACATGCCGTGTTTAAAGAAAGCGAAACTCGATGTTGTTGTGAGTAACTTTGGCGAAGCTAAAAACTGCGCAATGCAGCTTCTTTGTGCGGTGGCTAGTACCAGTTCTCTATCTTTATCTGCCACTACTATGTGTGTAAGTTTTTCATTACTGTTATCATCAGATTCTGTGTACTTAGAATTTTTCTCTCCATTTTATTAAGTTACATTTTATCGAGTTCTTTGAGATATAATTAATTGCAGTCTCTTACTTCATATCATATCCCAATCCACCAAATAATTTTGCAATCCCATACAACAAAATTGGTTCGTCTATGTTTCGCTGTATTTTTACAATAATGTTAGGATGATTATATCTTATTATATTTCATTTGTCGTATGATATGGCACTCAAATTCGTCACATTAATCACATATTTTTATTAGATTTTGTTATCCTTTGTCGATATATATGCTTCAATCGACTCGAAGAGAAAAAAAGGTTAAAGTATACACTCCCTTAGGCATAAATATTCATCTTTATATATTGTTCTGATTTAACATGGCGTTCTCATTCTTCCACTGAAGATTCTCAACTCTGCACATGGTGTTCTCAATTCACTGTATATTAGCAACTCTGCTTGCGGTATGAATCTGCCTTCATTCCCTAACCTGACCCGTTTCGAACTACAAGTTTTCCATGGATTTAGTTGGAATTTGGTGATTGAATTCCTCGAGAACTCACCTAAGCTAGAGATTTTGATATTGAGAAAGGTCAGTCAAATGAAATCGCTATGTTCGAATACTTGATGCTTTAACTTTTGAATTTTCCTAATCTTGTGATTTCTCTCATTAGGAAGCGAAACAGTGTTGGCATTGTTTGGAAACACCATGTTGGACTCCTAAAAAGTGTGCACCTAGTTGCTTGTTATTGAATATCAATGTTATTGAGATTGTGGGATTCAAGGGAGGACAGGAAGAGTTGGAACTACTTGAATATTTGTTGAAGAATGCAAAGATGCTGGATAAATTGACAATTGATTCCATAAATTTAGATCCAAATGATGCAATTTGCAAGAACTTGTTTCTATTTAGAAAACCTGAGGTTTGACTCTCGGCACGATTCATAGATTTAGGAAGTGGCCTTTAAATCTTGAGTTTACACGCTAGATCGAGTTCTCGATTATTTTTTAAAAACATTAAAAATTTAATTAATTTCCAATGAAGTTTTAATTTTTTTTAATTGCTATTTATGGTCAAGGTAATGATGCATGCTTTCTTTTTCTTTTTTTTATATTTCGGTATCTGTGCATGCTTTTGTGCGAAAAGAAAATGGATTATTTTTTTGAATGGTCATATTTGGTATGATCTAAAAAAGGTTAAAAAATTACTATTTTATTTAAGTTATATCATTTTATTTAAGTTATATCACTTCTTTAACACATCATTTTAGACCTAACTCATATCTAACCCATATTTCATAGTCAAAAATACACTTATTTAAATCATTCCAAATCAAAATTTGCTTATTTGTGGTTCACTTTTGGCTCAATCTGGGCTAATTCATTGAACAATAGTAAACTATGGTGGCTTGATAATTCTCACGTCACAGATTTGCAGAAACGAATTTGGTAAAAAAAAAAAAAATAATTAAAAATATTTATGGTGTGCTATATCAATTTATGATAAAAATTATATATATATATATCTATTTTGTGATAACAAAAAATTATATGTAAGAAAAGTTACAGTATTTTATAATTTATATGTTATGAAAGACAATAATATATAGTAGCATCTTCCAACTAAAAAATTCATGAAATAAACATATATAATATAGATAATGTTATACATTAAAGATTTTATAAAAAAAAATTATTCACTAATTAATGCGACCCTTATCATTTTATTTATTTATTTATCATCTATATGATCTATTTTATTATATAAAGTCTACATTGTTAGGTGTACTTTTTTTTCTTTTTTTTTTTCAAAATACCCTCATGTAACTTGCAATTATGTAATTAAATTAAATTTAAGAGTAATATTACGAATTCAAAAATTTTATCTCAAATTTTATTAGAAATATCAATTTATGATTCAGGTTCAATCTCCCCCACAACGCACTATCTAGAAAAGTCTGGATAGTTATGTTTGGGAGAGTAACTTTTCTCTAAATTTAAATCAAAATTTGTAATTTCTTATAGGTTTGATAGCACACACCCACACATAGCCTGTATTATTAAAGTTAATCATGTTTTAAATTCTAAAATTTTATTATTACATTATATGTCAATTTATAAAACCGTAAATTTGGAATTTTTTTAATTCAAAAAATTGATATAATATAACAATTTTCTATAACAAAATAAAAATGCAAGACTCTAAAAAAATGTGTGGATCTTTTAAAGTTCTTTTGCAGTAAAATGATGAGAAAAAAAATTGTGAGAGGAACGGGAAAAGGAGGATGAAGAAGAGGGGTACCAACCGTTGTAGGTAGAAGAAGACACATTAAAATTTTAGAAAATGTTATGTACTCTTAAGTAATTTACTAAATTGTTTATCAAAATTCTTACATGGGTATGAGACCACACAAATTCATATGTGTGTGGGTCTCACATCCATGTAAAAGGTTTGATAGATTATTTGGGCCCCTAGCACAACTAAATTTTATTTATTTATTTTTATTATGAGTCCTATATGATATGAATATCACCTAATTTTTTTGGGTAAAATTCATTATGGCTTAATAGCATTTACTCTTGTCTTTTAAAACTAGTCATATGCTCCCATATAATTTTGAACTAAAATACAACTATTAACACTAAAGTGGGATAAAATTAAGTCTTGGTGTTCGGCCCAAAGCCGGACCCGAACTAGTAGGGGAGCTAAGGGCTCGGCCCAGTGACCAAACACTTGCTCCCGATCAAGGCAATCGAGGTAGCTCGGCCCAATCCGAAATGGACTGAGTAACATGTTGGACAAACAACCACTCCAAAGTGGGCCAAGCAACATGTTGGACCTTCTGGTTGGACAATCACTCTGGAGTAGACCAACTTAAAGAGGACCAATTCACTGAAGATCTTTCTTAGGCTCACAAGAGATAAGCAACTCTACTCCTCTCCTTTTGTCTGAACAAAATGTGGAGACACGGAGATACAGAGGGACAAGGTACATACATGACAGACCTGCATCTGAGTGTTAGGCGAAGTGGTCGTCCTCCTCCAATGAGAGACGACCACTAGTGAGACAAATAAGACAGACCTGCACCCGAGTGTTAGGTGGAGTGGTTGTCCTCATCCAATGGGAGACGACCATGAATAAAGCACATTGGACAAATTGCGAAGCGAGAAAGTCTTAAAGGACAAACAACCTTCTCCTATAAAAGGTGAACACTATTCACTCTCAAGGGATCGAAAATCCACACACTTAACATATATACACTTTTTGTGTTCTCTCTTCTTCCTTTCCCTGAGTCCCTGACTTTACCATCAGAGGGGTTTCCGACCAAACCCCAGTCGGGCAGCCTCACCGTTTGTTACTCTGTGCAGATCTTCAATTCTCAGACCACGCTATTCATCTACGAAGTTCAACCCTTCTTCATAGTGCAGAAATCACCCTCCGCACAATTGGCGCCGTTTGTGGAAATACCACTGCTCGCTTCGTGACAAACTCCGACGATAGGAATCGAAGATACATCCTATTCTAGGCTAGCAGAGAGGACTCCAATGATAGAAAGGACCGAAGATAAGGGTCTGGCATTTCCCTCAGCGCACGATGACCCTATGGACCACGACGATCAGACACCCGACGTGGCGGAGTGACGCAATGTCATTGCCGTTGAGTCGTCTCAACATCTTTTTGTTGAGAAGGACCATTGTGACCGCATCATTGACTCAATGGGTTTGGAGATCATTGAGCTTCGCACCCAACTGATGAAGTTCATGGCGACCCCAGCGGAGCTAAGAAAGTCTGTTGGTGGACTATCGCAAAGGAGACATACTCCTCCTCTCCCTCCGCCTCACAAAGAGCACTCCAGCCGTTGCCCTACTGGTAGAGAGCGTAGACGGCCGATCGGTAAGTAGTGAAGGGCCAGCAGTAGGACAAATAACCTCCAAAAAAATAACCCACGAGAGGATTCTCATAAAAGGCAGGGGACTGTTAGCCGCCTATCTGAAACCTTCATTGTTACCGCGACAAGCAACCGTACGATTTGAGAAGTTGGCTGAATGATAACCGAGAAGAGACACGACAACTACGCAGGGAAAACGAACATCGATGAGATAGGAAGGAGGAACACCGATTTGACAGGGAAAGGGACCAGTTAGATCAATCCATACACCAACAAGAGTGTCGCGCTCTAGACCGGTTGGTATCCACCCCATTCTCTCTAGAGATAGAAGTTGTAGAACCTCCGTGGAAGTATAGCTCGCCAAAATTCATTCTCTATGACGAGAAGACGGACCCTCTGGCACACATTAGCCATTACTGCCAGATGATGTCCCTCTAGAACCGCGACCATGTGCTCATGTGTAAAGTCTTCCCTTCTAGCCTTGGAGAACTTGGCCTTTGATGGTTTGAAAAACTCCCCATTGGTTCAATTTCTGACTGGATGTAGCTCTCTAAGGCATTCTTAGCCCGATTTGTCTCTAACAGCAGAGTCCCAAAGCAGTTGGATACTTTGTTCAACATCCGAAAGGACAGGAAAGAGACCCTGCGCTAGTATGTGCGACGATATTGGGAGGAATATGGCAACTTAGAGGAAAATGTTTGCAGTGAACAATTGGCCATGATATACTTCAAGCAAGGCCTAGCTCCTTCGCACAAGCTAAGACAGTTGTTGACGAAACGACCTGCCCTTACCATGAAAGATCTGAGGGCCCGAATAGAGCAACAAGCTCGTGTGGAAGATGACGTTGTTTCAATACATGTTGCTGTTGCTGAAAAAGAAATTAGATCTCTCCGACCATCTAGGACAAAGCAGCCAAGGAGGGATGAGCAGCGCAAGAACTATGGCTAGAAGAACCGCACTATAGTGGAAAACGAAGAGGAAAGGCCAAGTCTTATGAAGGCATCACTACCGTCTTCAAAGAGCCAATATGCAGGCTTGTCGAGAAACTTAAAGGGGAAGCCTTCTTTGTCTGGCCCGCTAAGATGCGTGGAGACCCTGCTCAGTACAATCAAACATTGCGTTGCACCTATTATCGAGAGAAGGGACACAAGACGCAAAATTGCAGAGCTCTCAAACAATACTTGGAGGACTTAGTTACGGCGGGCCACCTCCAACAATGGATAGACGTTGATAAGACGAGGGAAAAGCAAGGACAAAACCAAACCCCTCCTGAAGAGAACCGTGCCCCAAGGTTGGTCATCAACGTTATCCATGGAATGGCTGACCCCGAAAGGGAAAATGCTTTTCGAGGCGAGATCCAACGAGCCACTCACCTTCAACGAGTCATGTTAGTGGGACCTCCTCCCAAAAAGTCCAAGACAGAAACCAGGCCTTCACGATTAAACGTCGTGTTTACCGAGAAGGACCTAGAAGGAATCCAACACCCCCATACCGACGCCCTCATCATTACAGTTGGTGTAGCCAACAAGTTTGATGTGAAACGAGTCTTAATTAACATCATGTATTATGAACTTTTCAAGAAGCTTGGCCTCAGATACCTGTCACCTCCCCTGTAGTTGGCTTTAACTCGTAAACAGAATGGCCGCTCAGCCGAATAACTCTGCATGTCATAGCTAAGTCCTAGGTGGTCTCTGTTGACTTCTTGGTGGTAAACATCCCATCTCCTTACAATGCCATCCTCGACTGACCCTGGATTCATCAGATGAAGGCAGTCCCTTCCACTTATCACCAACTCGTTTGCTTTCCAACCAAGTATGGAGTAAAGAAGAATCATGGAGACCAAGTGGCAGCCAAACACTACTTCATTGCCGCTTTGAAAACCAAACAAGTCTGCGACCAAGTGTAGATGGTGGAAGTACTTGACCAGCCAGCTTTGGAAGACGTTGGTAGAGTGCCAACCGAGAAGATGGTAGAAGACTTAGAGACAGTCTTGGTATAAGAAGGAAACCCAGACAAGTTCTTCCTGCTCGGCACTTCCCTCACTGTTGGAGAGAAAGAGCAATTATTGGCTCTACTCCGTAAAAGCATCGAAGTGTTCGCCTGGTCGGCCTATGACACTCCTGGGTTGGACCCCAATTATGTCTGTCATCAACTTAACGTCCAATTAGGAGCACAATTGGTTGTTTAGAAGAGTAAACGGTCATCCGCGCAACACACCGATGCAGTAATTGAAGAGATGGACAAACTTTTAGAAGTGCAGTACCCAAAGTGACTGTCCGACACTGTCATAGTGAAGAAGAAGAATGGCAAGTGGAGAGTCTGCGTTGATTTCACTAGCCTTAACAAAGTTTGCCCCAAGGATAGCTTTCCTCTTCCACGGATAGATCAACTTGTTGACGCAATGGCTAGACATGAACATATGAGCTTTCTAGACGCCTACAGTGGCTACCATTAGGTCCCCATGTTCGACCCTGACCAGGAGAAAACGGCTTTCATCAGCCCTAGAGGCACTTACTGCTACAAAATGATGCCCTTCAGCTTGAAAAACGCTGGTACGACCTACCAGCGAATGGTCACAAAAATGTTCAAAGACCAACTCGGTAAAACCATGGAAGCATACATTGACGACATGGTCATCAAAAGCAAGTTGGCCGAGCACCATCTGAGGGACCTTGAGCAAGTGTTTGAAATTCTAAAGACTCACAAGCTTCAACTGAACACCTCAAAATGTGCCTTTGGAGTAGGATCAGGGAAGTTCTTGGGGTACATGGTGACTAGGCGGGGCATTGAAGCTAACCCCGACCAAATCAAAGCCCTCAAAGACCTCAAAGTGCCTACAAAGGCTAAGGAACTCCAGGAACTTGTTGGCATGGCTGCAGCACTTAACCGTTTCATCAGTCGGTCCTCTGATCAGATGACGCCCTTCTTCTAACTTCTAAGGAAGAAAGCTAGTTTTGAATGATGAAGCCAGTGCTCCGAAGCACTAGAAGATTTGAAGAAATATTTGTCCTCTCGTCCTCTTCTATCTACCCCTGTCACCAACAAAGAGCTTTTTCTTTACTTGGTTGTTTCTAATCATACTGTTAGTTCAATGCTGGTCAGAGAGGATGGAAAAGAGCAAAAACTAGTGTATTATGTTAGCAAGACTCTCTTAGACGCCGAAACTAGATACTTGCCATTGGAGAAATTGGCATATGCCCTATTAATTGCCTCTAGGAAGCTTGTTCACTACTTTCAAGGACATACCATCAACGTCCTCACTGAATTCTCTTTCAAGTCGGTGTTCAGTTGAGCAGATTTCTCAAGCCAAACAGCAAAATGGGCGGTGGAGCTTGGAGAGTTTGACATCAAGTTCTAACCTCGAACTACCATCAAAGCCCAAGTCCTAGCAGACTTTGTTACAGAATTCACTCCGAGATCAGCTGTTCCCTCCGAAGGGAGCTCGGCCTTGGTCACTATAACTGTCTAGCACAAGGGGCAATCCCCAGCCGAAGCATGGAAACTTTTTATTCGAGACGTATGGAAGCTATTTGTGGATGGTTCTTCTAACCAAAAAGGCTCAGGGACAGGAATTGTCCTTATTTCTCCTAAAGGATTCATGTGGAAACAGACTATCCGATTGGGCTGGAAAGCTTCTAATAATGAAGTAGAGTATGAAGCTCTACTAGCCGGTCTATGAAGTGTTGAACACTTCAACGCTGAGGAGCTACTCGTCTTTAGCGATTCCCAATTAGTGATCAACCAACTCTCTGGAGTTTATGAGGCTCGCGACGAGCGGATGACCACTTATGCAGAACAAGCCAAAAACTTGATCAGAAAGTTCCAGGCCATTAGAGTTGAGAAGATTGGCCGAGAGGGACATGGTCACGCTGATGCCTTAGCTTGCTTGGGTTCCTCAGTTGACTTCAGAGATGGTCGCAAATATGGGTGGAATATGTACCCCAACCAAGTATTCAACTAGTCAAAATAGTCCTCTGCACTGACTTGGGCCCAAGCTGGGTGGACCCACTTTTGGCCTTTTTGAAAAATGGCACCCTTCTTGGGGACAAAAAAGAAGCGCATAAGATAAGGCACAGAATTGCTCGGTTTTGGGTCTCCCCATCTGGCAAGCTTTATAAGAAGTCCTATATGGGCCCTTATTTACTTTGTGTTTATCCATGTCTGGTGGAGAATGTGCTTTACGAGATCCATGATGGAATTTGTGGGAGCCACACTGGTGGTCGGTCCTTGGCACACCGAGCCCAAACACACGGGTATTGGTGGCCATGCCTGCAAAAAGAGGCCCAACAGTATGTCCGCAAGTGCGACAAGTGCCAAAAGTTTGCTCCTCTTATTCACCAGCAAGCCAGCCAAAGCTCTGACTCCCCTCATCAGTCTTTGACTATTCGCTCAGTGGGGCTTAGACATTGTTGGACCATTAGCCAGGGGAACTGGGAATCAAAGGTTCTTCATTACTGCAACTGATTACTTCACTAAGTGGGTGGAGGTGGAGGCCTTATGTAAGATCAAAGAAGCTGACTCTAAGAGGTTTGTTTGGCGCAATGTTGTGACTCGATTTGGCATTCCCAGAGTCATTCTCTTTGACAATGGCACACAATTTGATGGCAATATCTTCAGGAGATTTTGCTTTGACTTGAAGATAGAGTTCCAAAACTCCACTCCGGCCTACCCATAGGGTAATGGCCAGGTTGAGGCATCTAACAAGATGATCATTGATGGGATAAAAAAGCATCTTGAAAAGGCCAAGGGCAAATGGGTGGAAGAGATACCGAATGTCCTATGGGCCTACCGAACTACTCCTCGCCGATCGACCGGTGAGACACCTTACTCTCTTACCTATGGGCTGGAAGCAGTCATCCTTTTAGAGGTTGGCCTTCCTACCATCCGTTCTGAGATCTTTGAGCTAGCAGACAGTGATGAAGCCATTTCCCAAGCTTTGGACATGGCCGAAGAGCGCAAGGAAGCTACCCTCGTTCGATTGGTGACTTACCAACAACAGCTCACTAAGAGCTTCAACAAGAATGTGCGTCTGAGGCATTTCCTACCAGGTGACTTGGTATTTAAGAAGGTGATGGATCACGAGAAAGTTCCAGGAGAAAGGAAACTCAGTGTTAACTAGGAAGGGCTCTACAAGGTCACTTCAGCGCTTGGCAATGGCACATACTATATGGCCGATTTAGCAGGGAAGACAATCCCTAGACTGTGGAACATTGCCAACCTAAAGAAGCACTTCCAGTAATGTGATTCTTAGAATGAAGTATTCTCAGTAATATATTTCTCAGAGCATGCCTTGATGTAACCAAAAGTTCTAAATATCAATGAATGAGTTTTTTTTTTTTACAATTTGTCTTTATTTACTTGTGTTGTACATTTATGCTCGGTAGAGCAAATTGGCCACGGGTCTTAACTCAAGCCAAGCCCGGATGCTCGACCCTTTGGTTGGAGCGGGGTGCCAGGTGGTATAACTTGGTGGAATTTGTGCCGAGTATCGTTACTTGGAGCACGGTCCATATTCACAATCTGCGCTCAAAGAAGGACCGAATTACACTCTACGATGGGTTAAATTAAGCCAACACTTGACCAAGTCAGGTAGCGGTCGAACAACATGATAGAAAACTTTCACAATTTTTTTATCTCCTAAGGCATGAAGCGTGGTCTGACCGAACAAACAGCCTTCTGAGCCACAGAGCTCATGCTCAGCAGGGGCCATCAAAAACTCAATTTTTTCCAAGGCACGAAGCTTGATCAGACCGAATAGATGGCCTGTTAGGCCACAGAGCCTCTGCTTGGCCGGGCGCAAACATTACATATAAGCAAAAATTGAAGATAAGCAGTTCAACCCTTGCGAAAATGTAAGAACAAGTGCATTGAAATAAAACTTCAATTACCAAAAAGAGTTCGCCTTACAAAAGAAAAGGTCTAGCTGACCGAACTCCAAGACAAATAAAAAAAAAGGTGCAAGTTGCAAGTTCAATATTTGGGCAAATTTAGAAGGTACTTCATTACAAAAGAAAGCTCGGTTTGTATCATAGCTTATCCGACAGAGCACTAAAGCAAAAGTTGAAGATACTTCATTAACTTCCAAGTTTCATTACAAAAGAACTACTAAAGCAGAAAAACAAAAACCCAAGGCAACCTAACAACTTACTCCTCGTGTTGCTCCTCCTTGCAATGTCACTCATCGCGATGCTCCTTCTCTATAAGATCGACAGTCCGCCCAACTAAGGAAGAGCCCGGCAGGAGAGGGGAAAGTCAGAATGATCAACATCCATAGCTCCAGCCTCCCGAGACCTTCGCCTCTTAACTCTTGCTGCGGTCTTTGAAGGGACTGGGATATCGTCAATATCATAAAGAGGAGAAGCCTCTTTCACCTTAGTAGAGCGCAGAGCCCCAATCCAACCCTTAGTAAAGATCTTATCCCTTAACTTCAAAATCTCCTCCGAATAGGTCTTTTCGGCCTCGTCATAGCCCCTCTGTTCGGCCTCGTCCATCATTCTTTGATAATTAGCCTTCAAAGACTTCAAAGTAGCATCGGCATCTGTAGCCCCCCCTTTCGGACATGAACATCAATGCTTCGACATTCTTCTTTGCATCTTCCATCTCTTTTAGATCCTCT